CTCTATTTCTCCACATTTTTCATAAATGCTGTGAATGCTATTTTCATCCAGCAATTAAAGCTAGATAAATAATAGCGAATATTTGAATCAATTTGAAATTGCTGTAAATAATTGTTTTTATGCACAGTATGTAATATATAACTATATATTTATTGCGATTTTTACATTTTAATGTTGACACTTATTTTATTTTTCCAATTTAGGCTATATATATATATATATATACATATATATACAAATTGGCAAAAATAAAATAAGTGATAAGTGTCAACATTAAAAGTAAAAATTACAAGAAAGGATTGAACCGGTCATAAGATTAACTGATGAACAATCATCATTTGAAAGTTTACATAAGGTTTTGTTGTTAATTTTAGAATGTTTGAAGATTTGCTTCTTGATTCTTTGAACGACGTAAATAGTAGCACAACAACTACTGTTAATAATAATACTAATATCAGTTATTTTGAATTGAGGATGTTTTCATAAAGGTTCGAATTGTTCATATTCAAGGCTGTGAGTCAAATCAAGCATTTCTGTCAAATGATTAAAATTAAGATCTAGTAAAGTTAGGCCAACATTTAAAAAAAAGCACATTACCCTAAAATATAACAAGCCGTTTTAAAGGAGCATAGCTTTTAGTAGAATCCAAAAGGGAGATTTCAACATTTACTATTTGATTGCTCTTTTAAATGCACAAACAAAGAATACTCTTTTTTTAAGTTTTTTTTTTATTATAATTTTTTTCATCAGCCTGCCTATGCTGCTGTCACAATCTGAAATTATTATCGCAACCCAAAAACCTGCTGGTAGTTTCTGACTATGCTATGACGATGCATATTGTCCAGCATGTTCAATCTAACAAAATACAAACTTACCAAACAAAGCCCTGTAATCCATGTTTTTCCTCCTGCGCTGCTGGTGAATATTATGAAGCTTCTTTCAAATCAGTCGTCCAGTACTGTATTGCTTGCTCTGTTTAGAAATGCTACTCAGTAGCACCCATAGCATCTGACAACATACGTAATCGGTAACGCACGTTACCAAAGCCTTGAGTTTGTCTTCTCGATCTCTGACACAGATAGCAGTACACAGCAAAATTACATATTTAAAAATATTTGAGCACACTGTGTATTTTGGATTTGGAGCCTTTAGCCACAGAATGTAGTTGAAAAATCGCTTGGGAAATCAGGAAAAGGGGTCATGAAGATGTTTGCGTCTTGCACATGACCAGTGGCATCCAATGACCGACGAAATAGGCTCATAAAAAGATCTATTACAAAGCTGTAAATTGTCTTCTAACAAAAAGGAATCTGGGCTGCCGCAAAGCCTCTAGTATTTTGCGCATAATGACTGAGCCAGCTGCACTTCCTCAGCAACGAAAATACAGTCACAGACATCTGCTGAAAGTGTGTGTGTGTGTGTGTGTGTGAGAGAGATAGTAAAAGAGAGGGAGTGAGAGAGAGACAGAGAGAGAAATTGTAAAGACACGCTAAAATGTTCTTAATCTGTGTTGTTTTGTAAGTATAAAATATGTAAAATAATTAAATTAGTTTAAGTTCAGTTAAGACCTACCTAGAAACTGACATAATTTTATCTATTAGCCTAGAAAAGTAAGCACCGGCGATCAATAAAGAATTGTAGCTATATGTAATAATTACTTAAAATACCGTAATGCTCACAATGCATAATATTAGAAAACGCGCTAGCTAAATTTGTAGGCTAATACTTTTATTTAAACTGAATAATGGTACTTTATCATTATTTATACATATATTTTATAAACGACAGTCGAAATACACAGTTCTGAATATGGTTCTCACAATCAACAGAGCATCGATTATAAATTTGTTATTTAGAAATGGGAGAATTTTGGAAAGTAATCATCTGTCGGCGTTTAAAATGTAGGCTAAACACATTTGCCTGTGTTTCTGTTTGTGTCAAAAGCACTGGTACGAATGATCAGTTCTGCGGCTGGAGGTGTCAGAAGAGCTGTAGACGCCAGATTAACATACAGAAAACCTGATTTTATATATTTTGACTGTGCAAAACTGTTAATACGTAATGACTTTAAAATTAATAACATTCATTATTCATGTTTAAACTGCTACTTTAAAATCAAATAACACTCAATTTTTTGTTCTAAATTTATTTGACAGTAAATTCATTGTTATTTAAAGAAATCGAAGCTTCATGCGTTTTTTCTGGATATATCAGTTAAAAGCTGCAGGTTGTTGTTTTTTTTTTAACGCGGGCTTATTACCTTTGCTTGTAGTCACCATGTTTTATTTATTGCGTATCACTTCAGGAAAAAATATAATGTTTGCGTGCATATACGTGCTTCTGAAAAAAACTAAATTAAAAACAAAAATGGATAAATAAATAAATTATAATAAACAACAATAAATAAATACCTCTCGGGGTACAAGGCATAGGCTATTCCCTTTTTTCTGACTAATTTAATTCAAGGTTCGAATAAAGGGGGGTATGGAGAGGTAGGGGGTAACGGGAACGCCTTTATAGTCAAAGGGAAGCTACAGTAATCTGAAAACAGATTTTATGCCCGACAACCTTGAAGTCTCATCCAAGGGAACATCTGAGACGGAGGCGAGCGCTGATTTAGGCACCCTGGTTCCGAGCCAGTATTACTACCGGTCGATTTACAGGCTCGGTATTGTAGCGACCCGGCCTCTCGCAGTGTCGTAAAGACCCGCTGTCTTTGAAAGTTATCGTGTGCGTAAAATTTACAGCGGTCGCAGTGACACGTAATTCCACCAGGATTCGACTGATAACTGGCGCTCCGTGTCGCAGATTTCCAAAGCAGATAACATTATTGCATCAGTGCTGGCCGTCGCCATAAGCCTTCTCATGCCTACCGTTCAGCATTTTGTGGAAATGTTGATCCGCAGGAGAGGATACTTCGTCCAGTGTGTAATGTGAAGTGTCGACAAAGTGAGAACTCATTGGTGCGTGTGCGTAAAATTTAGAGCGGTCGCAGTGACACGTAATTCCACCAGGATTCGACTGATAACTGGCGCTCCGTGTCGCAGATTTCCAAAGCAGATAACATTATTGCATCAGTGCTGGCCGTCGCCATAAGCCTTCTCATGCCTACCGTTCAGCATTTTGTGGAAATGTTGATCCGCAGGAGAGGATACTTCGTCCAGTGTGTAATGTGAAGTGTCGACAAAGTGAGAACTCATTGGTGGTGTCAGATCGTTACTTATTAATGCCAGTGGAATCAGATATGATTGAGAGCTGCTGTTATTGAATGGTGTATTTGGTGAACAGGCCCACAGCCAAATTCTGCAGTCAGGGTGCTACAGCATGCCTCAAAACACGTTTGCTTTTAGTTATAGATCACATGACAGACAGGGAGGGAGAGGACGGAAAGGAAAATTAGATTACGTGTATTTTTTGCTCTTTTCTAGCGTCGTTTGGAGTCAGCAAAATGCTTGTTCGGCGTATACTGCGTTTACATTGCATTTACATGTATTCATTTACTACTACTATTCATAATAATACTACTACTACTACTACTACCACTAGCCTACTATACTACTACTACTACTTCTACTATTACTACTACTACTACTAATAATAATAATAATAATAATAATACTAATAATTAAAGTGTTATTTTGTTGAAACATTGAATTATCAGCAATTATTTTCACAGATCAGCTATGCCATCTAGTGGCAATAATGTGTACCCCTGTTTAATCTTGCATTCTTTGAAAATTGCAGGATGCATTCGTTTCTTTTTTGCAGTCACGTTCCCAGGCATTTAAATATATTTTGAAGTCTATTTGTTCAGAATCTAAAATGGGTGTTGCAACGAATGCATGCCTGACATTAGCTACCTAGCTTGTCGTAAGTATTTAACTGGCTGTTATGGCGACCTTTTTCTAAAATGAAAACATTCCTGTTGCATTTTGTTGTAGTAACGCCCCAAAAGATTGTGAGCTTTAAGGTTTGTAGAGTGGAGCATTTTCCGAATAAACGTGACTTTCAGTGTACTGGGGGGTCGATGTTGCTTTAGTCTCACCATCAATACATCGACCAGACGCCCCGTAGAAAAGTGTCTACGTTTTTGTGTGCAAGTAACAGACACAAAGGACCAGTGAGGTTAGTTTCAAAGAGAAGAGCAATTACAGTCGTATACCATAAACTCATTTAGACCAGACGTCTAGCTCGTTCTATAGCTTTATTGGACCCAGTTTCTTCCTGCTCTAAAGCAATTATTGGTACAGGTTTGACGATAAATTGGGGTTTTTTGCAACACCTTTTTAGCAATATTGCCTAACAATGAATCTGTATTTTGTGTTCAGCATGAAACAAAATTAGTCTTGTCGCAGGTCATAGCAACATAAAATCGTATTGCTGTTATTTAAAAGGTCTGTACATACAGTAGTGTGCAGTCGAAATTGCCATTTATTTATAAAACATGGTCTAAAAAAGGGAACATTTTTACAGTAGGTGCACGAGTAGAGTATTTAACAAAGCTTGTCTACACCCAAATTCACTATACAGCACTGAAGACAAGCTTCACTGTGAAAAATAAAACGAAATTGAAAAAAAGAGAAATAAAACAGACTAAAAAGTTCGATTTTCTTATCTAATGTAGACCATATTGATGCATCTACCACACCAGCAAGAGCTCAAACTAGAAATACACTAGTTTAGAAAAGAGATATTAGAAATATGAGATTGTACATAATGTCCAATTTTAAAAAAAGACAGAAATTAAAGGCACAGCTGAAGACAAGCTTCACTGTGAAAAATAAAACGAAATTGAAAAAAAAAAGAAATAAAACAGACTAAAAAGTTCGATTTTCTTATCTAATTTATACCATATTGATGCATCTACCACACCAGCAAGAGCTCAAACTAGAAATACACTAGTTTAGAAAAGAGATATTAGAAATATGAGATTGTACATAATGTCCAATTTTAAAAAAAGACAGAAATTAAAGGCACAGTAAATTATTACATGTGGCTGCATGAAGGCGAAGAGCGGGGTTTGCATGCATTATGGGCAGATTTAAAGATCAGCTCATTAAGAACTGTTCAGATCACGACCCATATCCTAAGTTCCTATAAGACATTTTTGTGGTAGGATTTTTATGAGTAAGGATAAGTAACTTCGGAATTTTACGAAACTGAATTCTCCGATCCTGAATGAACTAAACCATGGTGCTGGGAAACAGATTTTAAGCCAAATATAACTACTTTAGAATTTGTGGAATATTCATTCATTTATATATAAACAGAAGATATGCCATTTGAATAAGTACAAAGGGAAGAAAACAATTGTATCCTAAACCAAGCATATTACAGGAACGCGCATTAGCTTTTGAGCTGAAGCACATTGTTCACTGTTCACTAAGGATCTTTGCTGCTCCTCTCTCGGTTCATCTTCTTCATTTTCATTCTTCTGTTCTGAAACCAGATTTTAACCTGCCGCTCTGTTAAATTCAGGATTCGTGCAACTTCATAACGACGATCCCTCGTTAAATACATGTTATAAAGGAACTCCTTCTCTAATTCAAGAGTCTGATATTTTGTGTAAGGGCAACGTTTCTTTCTTGTTGATCTCGCATGGATCCAGTTTGCTGCAGGGTTGCCTGAAAGAAAAAACACGTAAATAAGCTTTACGTCCACAATTGATTAGATCACTCATGACAATATCAAAGGGAGCTTTGCCTTATGTATGAAATTAAAATACTGTGTAGTGAGTGTGAATGCAACTATTTTTATTTGTTATATATATATATATATATAGCATTCTCACAGACGAAGGTAATATTTCGGCCCGTGGTAAGAGCTCGGACACTTTTATAGGTTTGTAAAACCTCCAGTTTAGGACAGTTGGAAGGTTGTAAATCAAGGGGCAATTAATTTTACTTACTTGGGTCAAGTTGTTGTTGTTGTTTTTCGTCTTTAGGTTCACTGTGACTCGAAATATCATTTGCACCCGTTTCTTCAGTCGCTTTGTCTACGCTCTCGGATACAGCGCTGCAGCTAAACTCGGGAACCACCGGCGTCTCCGTTTCAAACGCCGCGCTTTCAGTCCTTTTCGAGGGTAAACTTTCAGTCTTTGTGCCGCTGTGCCGACTGCTGGAGGGGAGCCCCGATAGAGAGATATGGTTTGAGACTGGTTCTATCCAGGAGCGCACGTATCTGTTGTCTGAAAGATGGGTCTGGTGGACGTATGGATGGTAAATTCCGGACACAGCAGCAGTAGATGGTTGATGAACCGAGGTCCAGGACGCAGGGAACACGGCTGACTTGGGAGCGAAGCTGCACGACGAGAAGTCCGCATTTTCCCCCACACCTGACGGCCTCACAGTGTGTGGGCCCTGGACATAACGCGCTCCGTACACATCCTCCGTGTCGTGACCCATAATAGAGTCCACATAATAGCTGCTGAGAGCTGAACTAGTCGACATTTTTGGATCCCGTCGAGCTCATATAAAACGTTACTCTGTTTCAGAAACCTTGCCTCTGAACAATCATAGTATTTTTGCTGCCTTCATCTCCAGTGATTGGTTACATGAATCACGTGATCATATTTACTAATACAGAGAGTAAATCAGTCCGCTGATAACGGTATGTTTGATTTGTACTCTTAAAAAATAAAATAAGATAAGAAATTATTTTCATTTTAACTTAGCTGTAGTGGTATTCTGCATTCAACCTGTTTTAGACCACGATTGTTTTTTTAACAAGATCATATTAATGCATCCATTTATTTCAGTGCCAGCCCTCACCATTGATAGCTTAGCAAACGATTCCAGCAGCGTAAAATCTTGCAAAATTTCGTCATAAGATATGTCATACTCTAGCCTTGTAAAGTATTTTATAGAGTACCGAGTTACAAGTCCTCGTAAAATAAATGTAATAACATGCTATAAGACAACGAACCACCACAGCCTTACAGATTCTCATATTTTATAAACGGTCCTCGCTGCTTTAGTTTTAAGATCTGCAATTCAGTTGTTGTAAGTTTGATACTGACTGTAAGATGTTGTAAGATTGACACAGGAAAGTAATATTTGTGTATATTTTTTGGTACTTATTGAAAAGCGAGTCATGGTATTTTATGTGTATCAATAAAAATTTTATGAGGTGCATTTGATTATGTATTAATGTTCCCTTCATAAAAAGACTCTTGGCATTTCAAAGTGTCTTGACCCACGTGTCTGTCATTAAATAATAATAATAATAATAAATATGGGAATATTCTCGTCTTTTTAGATAATACACGTCGAGCACGGATGGTGGCGACGACTATGTGGAATGACTGATGGCAATAAAGCGGATGTTGCTACGTCACATTGCAATAAAATAGCAAAAAGGTTCAAGACCGATTAGATAATTTGTGTAAAGAGAGGTTAAACGCAATTCATTGCATATGTCTTCCTTATTTGGGAAAATAATCTGAGTGAGAAAACAATGTGGTAAAATGTTATTTGTCGACAAGTTGTCACTGAGAGCTCAACTGTTACAGTTTTGGTCGAAATTATAATCTGCGTTCACATCTGTGCATGGTCACACACTTGAACGCATCTGACCGTGTGCCTATAGAGACGTGTGGCATTGTGTTTGTTTGTATGCACATTAGAGAGTGAGTGGTCAATGCTATAGAAAGAAAAATGCAGAGCATTAATATAAGTGTTATACTTGTGGAAAGATAAGATACGAAAATAAGTATCTGGTCCCTTTTAAACAAAAATTTGACCAAATCAAGTTGAAGTTTGATCCATGTATTTTAGAGTTACATTTTCGTAAATTTTCTGATTTATTTTCTGGGCATACAGGAATTAAGAAAACTTGCTGTTTTGTTTGTCACTGACGTCCGTAAGTCACTTTTTTATTTATTTATTTTAATTTAAAGAATTAACAAATGCAAAGCAAGTTAGTATTCCATGGCTTTTTCGTCGATCAAAACATTTAAACTGTTTTGGGCCTTTTCATAACAATTGGACTAAAAAAATATAAAGTACAAAAAATAAATGTAGAAAATGACACACATTCAGGCTCAAACATGGACTGTATTTTAACATAAGATCATATTTTAAATGACTTTATTTTGCCCACATATTTAACAAAGGGTTTTTAATTAGCGGGTTGTACAGTGTTTTCTTGTGCGTGTGTGTGTTTGTGTGTGTGTGTGTGTGTGTGTGTGTGTGTGTGTGTGTGTTTGAGGGTAGTATTGGGGAATGTAATATGGTCCTGATTAAACTGTGGTTTAGAAACGTTTTTATACAAATTTTACAACAAAAACATATTATTATCACATAATGAATTTATTAGTCCACTGACCACATGCCACAAACATGCACTGATACAGACATATTTAAACATCTATTATACAGAAACCTTTATACGTAATTATTTCAGTTGAATGTAGGTTTTCACTGGAGAAAGAATGGGTACCCTTTACTTTCAAATGTGCTTTAATGTCCTTTTTTTAGCGCAAATGTTTCTGCGACATTTTTGCTCTGTCCCCGCTGAAATGAAGCCGCTCGTTTCTATCTTATTATATAAGTTAAGACCTAACACCAGTTTTATACCCTGTGAAACATACTGAAATACACAAGGCTTCACATTTCAAATGCAATGAAAGATGTAGCAACAAATGACAAAGATTTAGCAACGATCACAACATTGGAACGTGAAAGTAGCCAAAACAATGCACACCGCCCTCATGTCAACATTATACAGGAGAACACAGATGGACCGAAACGGGGAGGGAGGTAAGTTTTTGAAATGCTCTTGTTTTCATGCTCACGAAAAAGTGAGATTGGATGTGAGTTCACGAATACGATTTTCTCTACTCATCTTCTTAAGTTTCATCCTGCGGTTTTGGAACCAGATTTTCACTTGTCTGTCAGTGAGGTTGACGCATTTGCTTATCTCTAGACGGCGCTCCCGAGTCAGGTACATGTTGAATAAAAATTCTTTTTCTAATTCCAAGGTCTGGTGTTTTGTGTAGGGACATCTTTTTTTCCTTCCACTCTTCGCGGTTAACCAGTTGCTCGTCGGTGTGTCGTTTTTAGATTCTGCAAAACAAAAACACACAGTGAACCAACAGCAAAACAAAAAGGGAAATCAAGACACTTTTTTGCATGAAAAAAATAGAAAGCGTATGCTTGTTATAACAGTTATCATAATTAAATCTATGCCTACAGTTCATTAGAATTAACGTAGCCTACTGAGTCTAAATAATAGCCCATGTGGCCTCGTTTGGACTTTCAGCACACAATGACAAGTGTTGACTACAGCGTACTTTTACTGAATTGTTGTTGTTATTATTATAATTTTTCTTTTTTCAGTTAACAATAAGTTTTATTAAGCTAAATTACTCCTTATAACCAATGCACTTTTTATACAGGCAATTTTTGTATTTAACTACCAGAAATATGATTTTGCCAAGCTATAGCCTACTAACCATGTTGCAGTTAGTAACAAATAAATGGCAATGAATGGTTCCTACATTCAAAGTACATTCATTTTCGTGCTGAATGGATAAAGCTGCAAACACATTTCACCGAGACTCTGCTGCTAACATTGAGCAAAGATTGTGAAGTCACTTGCAACAAAAGGTATTTGATGTTAACGCGCCCTCGCAGCGCTGTTTCCTGTTAAGGCTTTTACTGCAACCTGAGTAAGACTCCCATTAAACATTACGACTTTCGGGTTGTTTGTGTTTTATATTGGGTTTTATGATGCCGGAGCGTTCGCATTACACCAAGACGCGATTAATCCGTTTATTGTACCCACCTTTGCCTTCCCTGTGTGGCAATGCAGGGCTGGAGACAGACGCCTCAGTTGAGCAATTCTTCTCCTCCAGCGTGCTGACTTTGGGCTCTGGACTCTGCGCCGGGGAAGAGCTCCTTGTGTCCCGATCGTGCGTAAGCTTCTTTTCCACCTCGACAAAGGGCGTTGACTGCGCCTTTGGAGTCACCCTGTTCAGCTTCATTAACGTAGTGTTCGGGCTCATCGTCTCGCTGTCATAGTCCGGGTTTTTCGCCGTCGCATAAGTTTGACTTAGTCTAAAATAGCCAGGGACCGGAATCTCGGGACTATCAACGGAACATGTTTCGGGAATCAGGTTGGAGTACGCGGGTATCTCGGACGAACTGACCTTTGCTCTCTTGTCGGAGTACATACAACAGTTAGTTTCTTCTTTTATGCTTTGTGAAAATGTGCAGGTGGACATCTGGTTGAGCGGTTGCTCTAATCGGCAGGACCTGCTTGGATCTGCCCAGTTATCTGTTTGAGGTATGTACGAGTGGACGTTCATGCCCATGTTTTGGTGGTTTACTTCCCCCCGTTTGCCAAGAGACGGCAGGAGTCCACAGGTTTGCATTCCATAGGTTCCCATTTCTGCAGTGGCTGGCATGTACATGTTACTGCTGGAATAAAAATCTGTTCTGCATGCGCCAATCAAGGAATCTACCAAAAACGTGTTTGCAGCAGGAGAGCTGTTGGGAAAGGACATTTTGGAGAGTATTTTTGTTTAAGAAGCAGAGAAGTGTCCTCTGTAAACTGACATATCTAGCAAAACAATCCCTGTATAACCCAAAGAGTCTCTCTGCAACCACATGACACTCTCACCAATGAAATTTGAAAATGGCCTTGAGACGCAGGCTCTTCCCCATCACGTGGGCGCACTGACACGGTTTGAAGTTTTAGACGTGGTCAACAGCGACACCTAGAACAAGGACTTGAAATTGGTTCCAAGACGGTCAAAATAACATTGCTAAATCCATTATCAGAATACCATATACAATTAAGACAAAATGTGACGAAATTGGACTAATATATCTACTGCTAAAGTGCAAGGACCAGGAAAATAAATGACAGCATTCAACACAGCCTACTTTGTATTCCTTTTAACTCCAATTCAAGGTCAAGACAAGAAATGTCGGCAGACACCGCAGAAGGAATTTCTCGTAGTTCCCATTTTCAGCAGGCAAAATGCAGAGAACAATGCAGAACAAAATGCGGCGGCGGACGTGGGCCTAAACACCGCTAACTGGATTAAGGGTGAAAAGCAACACTGTGATTTCATATTTTCTTTGTTTGATTTTATCATCTATATTCTAATCTGCCTGTTTGCTGTCAGACCGTTTTATCGTACGCAAAGAAAATTAAAATGTGATTACTATATAATAATTCGTGTAATACCATGTTTGTTGTCTGCTGTTATTTTCTAAATTAAATAAAATAAACATTGTACTTGTTAAATCAGAATTATATGTTAGCCAGACAGTGTATTTTATCACGTTATCATTCACATTATCATTATAAAAATGTAAGGAAGGCAATTTGTTTCTATAGCCTATATCAAAATATATAGCGGAAGTCAAAGGTTTAAATTAATTTTCATCTTTGCGTAAGTAATGCAGTTCTTTTAAATGTACAGACTGAAGAGGGTTTTTATAAATCAATTTATACGATCGTGTGTCTTGTAAAAAATTATAGAGTTTTAAACGCATTTACACTTTG